GAAGGGAAAAAGTGGTATCGGTGCATCTCTAGCAGTTACATGCCCAAATGTACCATTTAAGGTGGGACGGAAAATTTGAATAAGAAGCTGACAAACAGAAACCCAAAGTCAGCCTTGTATTTCTTTTTTTTGTTATTCTTTGCCCTTTGGCCTTTGTTTGTGAGTCTACAGATGGCGTCGGCGTGCTTGCAGGGACTTTCCTTCCTGCGTCTTGTCGTGTAGAACTTCTTGGGTGTTTTAGCTCGTTTTGATGCTGTCGTTTTGGTCTGTGCCGGCTGGTGAAATATGTTTTAATCACTTTTTTCTCATTTTCATAGCCATTAAAGTCTTACATTTTACACTGTGTCATAGGCCTGTTCAATCTTTATTTTTGGTTAGAAATTTTGACCCTTTTCCCTGTTTTTAGTGGCCAAACTTTTGGTGCATCTCTTATAACAGTCTTTATATGCAACATTCTGTTCATATATCTGCAAAGGGCCGGTGTGGAGCACACCTGATCAGGTGTTTGAAGACTGAGACCAACTGACTAAACAAATATAATCAGGTGTGTTTGGAATGAAAACCTGCAGCCACACCGGATAAGACTGGACACCCCGTCCCACTGTGTCTATATGATAAAAGTTTGTGTAAGATTTGATTATTTTTGGGAAAGATTAGCATAAACATTTCTTCTCTTTTACTTTCAAGCCAAAGCAAGTTCTAATACAATTACAGAAACAAACATAGAATGCTAACAGCACTATAATGAGGTGATGATATAAATATTAATATTATATTGATACTATATGAAAGATAATATTATCTCTAAATAAAAGATCATATAAAATTTGGGGGACCCGGGAATAAAAAAAAATCTTCATTTGTTTAATTTATTTAGTCATTATTTGTACATATACAGTGTTTACATGTTCATTTTATGTTTATATTTGTAGTGGATTGTCCCAAGTGTTTGAGCCCGGCAGTCAGAGGCCCCTGGTAATCCATCCCTGGGCCCTAAGCTATAAACATGCAGAACAGACATACAAAGCAAAGAACCGACGCCGACAATAATGTCGCCTGGGTTGGTCAGACACTAGAGGGCGCTCCAAGAGACAAAATGACATTGACAGCTTCCTATAGATCCTTTGCACAAAACTGTAAAATGCATTGGTGTAAAGAGAAGAGGAAAAACAACCTGAAATAGTGAGTTGAGTAGTAAGTCACTTAGGGGTCAAGTCAGGTCTCTGTTTAGAGTCACTTAAGGGCATGTCCAAGTCAAGTCAGGAGTCAGTTAAGGGCGTGTCTGAGTCAAGCTAGGGGTCAGCTTAGTGTGAATCTGAGTCCAGTCGTAAGTCAGTTTAGCACGAGTCTGAGTCCAGTCACGAGTCGGTTTAGCACAATTCAGAGTCCAGTCACAAGTCAGTTGAGCGAGAATCTGAGGCGGTTTAGCATAGGTCCAAGTCCAGTTGTGAGTCTGAGTCGAGTGTTAGTTCAGGGCAAGTTGTAATTGAGTTGCAGTTTAATTAAGGGCGAGTCAGCAAGTCTAAATCGAGTCACAAATCCTTATTTCTGGTGCACACAAACAGTGTCCAAGTCAAGTAAGGAGTCAGTTCAGGGCGTGTCTGAGTCAAGTTGGGGGTCAGTTTAGCCAGAGACTTCGAGACCAGTCACGAGTCACGAGTCCAAGTCTGACACTCTGAGTCGATTTGCGAGTAACTTATGCGTGAGCTTGCGTTGAGTCCAGTGTCAGTTCAGGGCGAGTCGTAATGGAGTTGCGAGTCAGTCAGCAAGTGACTGAAGTCCGAGTCGAGTCGCGAGTCATTTCTGGTGCCCACTAACAGTTTGCAGTTCTATGTTGGTGTAATGTCTATAGAAGTGAGCTGGTTCCCCTTAATCTGCCTCTGTTTACGAAAACCCTTCTCTTTGTTTACGCCGTCCTCGAGGCTTCAGCCTCCCACAGCGACAGAGGCAGGCAAAGATAATGAAATAGGAAATTTAACAGATAAAAAGGGGAAACTGAGATTTTGTTTTTGTGCTGAGTTATCGAACAGGAAGTGCTTGTCAGAAGAAGGAAGTGTGCCGTTTGCCGCGCCCCCTCGATACGCAGCGTGTTCTAAAAACTGAGTTCCTGAAATGGTGTTGACTCACGTGCAGAAACACACAAACACACACGTGTGAATCAGTGTCATACGGTTACGAAGAACAGAACAAGGAAGGAAGTGTGACAGAGAAAAACAGGCCACAATGGGCTGAGATTAGATAGAAGAGGGGAAATATGTCGAAACGAAAGAGGGAGAGAGAGAGAGAGAGAGAGAGAGAGAGAGAGAGAGAAAGGAGAGAGAGAGAGAGAAAGGGAGAGAGAGAAGAGAGAGAGAGAAAGAGGGAGAGAGAGAGAGAGAAAGGGAGAGAGGGAGAGAGAGAGAGAGGAGAGAGAGAATGAGAGAGAGAATGAGAGAGAGGAGAGAAGAGAGAGGAGAGAGAGAGAGGAGAGAGAGAGAGGAGAGAGAGAGAGAGAGAGGTT